GTGCCATGGCATCACGCTCACAGCAACCTCCAACTCCTGGGCTCAAGCGAGTCTCCTGCCTCCGCCTCCCAAGTAGCTGGGACCACAGGCGCCCACACAACGCCCGGCTATTTTTTGGTTGCAGCCGTCATTGTTGTTTTGGTGGGTCCGGGCTGGGGATTCAAACCGGCCACCTTAGGTGTACGTGGCTGGCGCCTTAGCCGGTTGAGCTATAGGCACCGAGCCCCTTTTTTTTTTTTCAAAGATAGAGTCTTGGTCTGTCATCCAGGCTGGAGTGCAAGGGTGTCATCATACCTCACTGCAGATTTAAACTCCTGGTCTCAAGTAACCCTTCCACTTCAGCCTCCCAAAGTGCTGGGATTACAGACACAAGCCACAGCACCCAGCCTATGAAAATATTCTTGAATTAGATAGTAGCATATTCACAACCTTGTGAATGTACTGAATACCACCGAATTTTGCTTTTTTTTTTTTTTTTTGAGAGAGAGAGAGTCTCACTCTCTTGCCCAGGCTAGAGTATCATGGCATCAGCCTACCTCACAGCTACCTCAAATTCCTGGGTTCAAGCGATCCTCCTGCCTCAGCCTCCTGAGTAGGTGGGACTGCAGGTTCCCAGTACAACACCCTGCTAATTTTTCTATTTTTAGTAGAGATGGGGTCTTATTCTAGCTCAGGCTGGTCTATAAACTCCTGGGCTCAAGTGATTCCTCCCACCTCTGCCTCCCAGAGTCCTAGGATTACAAGTGTGAGCCACTGCGCCCAGCCTGATTTAGCCATTTTTAAATGGTGGATTTTAATGTAAATCCCATCTCAATTTAAAAAATTGGTGACTAGAGAAAGGCAGAAAAGTGTTTAGGATTGCTTCAGCCTAGGAGTTTAGAGACCAGACTGAGCAAGAGTGAGACCTGTCTTACTAAAAAATAGAAAAACTATGGGCAGCACCTGTGACTCAGTGGGTAGGGCACTGGCCCCATATACCAAGGGTGGTGGGTTCGAACTCAGCCCCCGCCAAAACTGCAACAACAACAACAGCAACAATAAAAGTCAAAGGTTTTGTATCAGTCTATATAGATGTAAATAATGGAAGAACTGATGTCATCGGTCCTGGTAATAAAATGACAACAATACCACCTTTTGAGTGAGCACTACTAACACCTAAGTGTTCTAAGCACTTTATGTGTCTTAACTCATTTAATCTTCCCAACATTACTTTAAAGAATTCTTATCCTTGGGCCAGGCGTGGTGGCTCACGCCTATAATCCCAGCACTTGGGAGGTTGAGGTGGGTGGATTGCCTGAGCTCACAGGCTCAAGACCAGCCTGCCTGAGCCAGAGCAAGATCTCATCTCTAAAAATAGCCAGGCACTGTGGTGGGCGCCTGTCATCCCAGCTACTTGGAAGGCTGAGGCAAGAGAATCACTTAAGCCTAAGAGTTTGAAGTTGCTGTGAACTGTGATGCCATGGGGCATTCTACTAAGGGCTACAAAGTGAGATTCTGTCTCAAAAAAAAGAATTCTTATCCTCATTTTACAGATGAGGATATCAAGGTCAGAAAGGTTAAGTAACTCCCGCAAGGTTGCAAAGCTGGTAAATAGAAGACCCATGCAGTCTAACTCCTAAGTCCACATTCTTTACCACTGGACTATACTCATACCCCTCCTTAAGTTGACCCAATGTTCATAGATCAGACATGTACCCCATGTTATATCAGTACAGCAGGCCTAGTTTCTTATGTTGACCAGTTCATTATAGTCCCTTGGGTGGTCAACTTACAGAAGTTCTACTGTACATAGATTTTGTAATAAAACTGGATGGGACAGAGAGACCAAATACTGTACTGAGGCACTTTAATAGATTTTCTGGAATCTCTGTACGAATTCTGAATGGATACTCTGGCACTAGGCTAGATTTTAAGCTTGAAAATAAATGCAAATGTTTTCATTAAAAAAAATCAAGTTACAAATATTTAAGTAATATAAGAATAATAATAACTTCAATGAACTCTTACGTGTCTGTGAGAATCTTTTACCATAGAAATATATACTCCAAGAAATGCTGGTCTCTGGATCTCAAAGACTGTGCTCGCTTCAGCAGCACATATACTAAAATTGGATCTCAAAAAACTAACTTCAAGGTCCAGCTGTAAGAATGATGGTGTTGGCTCGGCGCCTATGGCTCAAGTGGCTAAGGCACCAGCCATATACACCTAAGGTGGCGGGTTTGAATCCAGCCTGGCCCGCCAAAAACAATGACGGCTGCAAACAAAAAATAGCCGGGTGTTGTGGCAGGTGCCTGTGGTCCCAGCTACTTGGGAGGCTGAGGCAGGAGACTC